GGAACCACATGTCCTGAGCACATGAACTATTGGAGACGAGTATTCGAGATCATTACAAACTCCAAGCTCTATCCAGTCATGCATTAAAGCACAAAGAGAATATTTCATCAGAAGTCTTATCCAAACAACAAAAGCTTAGTCAAAGAACAAATACAGACTTTACTGACACAGGGCAAGGAGTGCGAAATAATTGGTGAAAATATTTCATTTGTTTCTTTTTTTTCGAATAACAAAAACTCTGTACCTCAAATTGGGTACTTTGTAAAAGCTGCAATAATTAATAATTACAGAGAATAAGCTAATCAAATTTTATTTGCATGCTTGAGAACATTTTTTTACTTTTATACAATATGATATCGTGGTTATATATAGTATTTTTTTGTGAATAATTCATTTTTTTTTTCATTTATTTACCATATGAGTATCCATATTAATATTTTTCCCGCGAAGACGATATTTCAAGTGCATACTTCATGTGTACATTTAATTAAAAACATAATGTACATAAAATGGTATACGATACCATTTTAGGGTTCTGTTAATAAGTAACTAGGTGTTTACATCTTATTTTTATAATAGGTGACCTAGGCAACGCGCTGTATGTGAACTAGGTCGCTGGGGCGGCGGGCGGAGACAAATTGCACCGATGAAGTAAAAATTAATCCACTGCCGCCAAAGCTTCATTGGTTGATATATACTATGTGACATATAAATCCGAACACCCAGTTTAAATGGTTTTATTTTAATAAAAGTTGGTGAATGTATTTATCTTGCTGTACATAACAAGTGAAAAAATGTTCAGCCTTATCAGTTGGACATTCCGGTTTTTATACTGCTTTTTGTTTAATTCACTAACGCTCTAAAAATGAATATTTCAGCCGCAGTAAAGAATCAACGTTGGCGGATTTTGGTTCTTGACTTCCTTTACGATCGGTTACGATGCCTAGAGTACGGAGACCTGTACGATTTCGTCAACTTAGTGAGTTTGATAGGGGCCGTATAGTGGGACTTCGGGAAGCTGGACTTTCTTTTCGGGCAATTGCAGTTAGAGTGCAAAGAAGTGTAGACATTGTGGTTAGGTGTTGTCAGGCATGGCTTCGAGAAGGCCGTACGCAAAGAGCAAGGGGCACTGGACGCCGCCGTAGAACAACAGACCGTGAAGATCGCCGCCTAAGATTATTGGCCTTAAGGGACCGTTTCTCCACTACCAGGTCCATTGCAAATGAATGGTTTGCAGAACACGGAAGACCTATTGGCTTGCGAAGTGTTTACCGACGAATGAGAAGTTTTGGCTTGTTTTCATACCGGCCACACTGGGTCCTCCCTTTAACTCGAGAACACCGACGTAATCGCCTTGAGTGGTGGTCACTCTGGGATCAGGAATGGAACAGTATTGTCTTTAGTGACGAGTCTCGATTTTGTTTAGGCATGCACGATGGTCGTGCCAGGGTTAGAAGGCGACGTGGTGAAAGGAGGAATCCACAGTTTTTTGTTGGAATACATGTTCGTCACACTGTTGGAGTTATGGTTTGGGGTGCTATAGCTTATGGTTCCAGGTCACCTTTAATCTTCATTAGAGGTAACATGAACGCGCAGCCTTATATCCACGAAGTTCTAGAACCCCATCTTTTACCCTATCTTGACACCCTGGCAGATCCAACTTTCCAACAAGATAATGCCCGACCACATGTTGCAAGAGTCACAATAGACTTCTTTCAACATAATGATGTCACATTGTTACCATGGCCACCAAGATCTCCCGACTTATCCCCAATTGAGCTCGTGTGGGATATGATGGGTAGGAGATTGCTCAATTTGCAATGTCCTCCTCAGACTCTAGAATCACTTCGAGAGGAGTTGGTGGTTGCCTGGAGTGAGATATCACAGGAGGACATTGACCACCTGATCAGAAGCATGCCTAGGCGCGTTGGAGAATGCGTAGCACATCAGGGTGCATCCACACATTATTAAAGGTCAAAGGGCTTTAAAGCAGTGCAATCATTTTGAAATTTTTATCATTTACTTATTATGCTTCATTAAGTACTTATACAAAATTTTATTAAGATAAAACCATTTAAACTGGGTGTTCGGATTTATATGTCATTTAGTATAGTATTCCAAGGGGGTTGAATAATAAAGTAAATAGAAAAAGATAGTAATATGGGTCATAAGAATATTTAATACACACCAAAATTGTTAGAAAGTTGGAAAACTTCTAAAAGCATATGTTGAAATTTTTATATATATATTACAAAAAAACACGTTTATAAGGAATTCAAAAGGATATACTCGACCTCTTGAACCTTCATTTTTATTAACGGTAGGAAACGCGAGGCCCCAAGCTACTCTAACGAAAAAAATACATATCAGAGTCGTTGAAGGAGAGCAGAAGATGGCTGACATTTACTAAAAAAGCATCCATCTAAATTAGTTCCGTAATTCCGGCAAACATATGCTGCAATCTTAGCTATATTTGTTGACGGTACATTGATTTCTTGGAGAACATACCAGGAGGAGGTTTGGGAAAGGCATGAAATCTCAGACTTCGCACAATATATCCGATTCCTTGATTAACAAAAGTTGTGTGCGTGTAGACCGTCTATTTCCCTCGTATTAATTTCTACCAATCACAAACGCGCAATTTTGAATTACAAATGGTTTCTAGATGGAAAAATTGAATGACAACACCTGTCAGAAGTTTTTTCGAACTTACGCGCGGCAAAACTTGACAGCTGTTGTCACCAAAAATTACAAAACCTATGATAACAAGTTATCATGGTCTCATAGGACACCAGAAAACGACGCTAAACAATTTTTCTGCTTATCAATAAATTGATGTAGTGAAAATGAGTCGCTTTGGAAGTGATTGATCTGGCGATTGAGAAAAGTGTACCGTACAATACCGTTAAAACCCATACGACAATATGGAAACAGTTTGCAGAATTCTGCAAGGCAAAGAAATACGAGCTTTTGGAAACTACAAGTTTAGAGCAACCAAACCTAATTCTGAAAGATTGGGCCTGGAATATGATAGCTCCACGGTACCCAATGGGTGTTTAGGCCTTAGGCCTTCGTGATAGTTGGAGTATAAAAAAATGTGAAATACCGTTGCAAAAAAATGCAAGAGTTGTATTTCATGAAGTGGAAAATAATTTTTGATCAATATAAAGATATCTTGTAAGTCGAGTAGAGAAGCTCGTATTGCGAAACGAAGAAATTTGCAGGTACTTCAAGAAATACTTTAATTATTAGTTTGGTAAGCTATGTGTCTGCAGAATAATCCGTTACTCATGAAATAGTCTTGTCAAATACCATTCGGGCATCCAATTGTTTCCTGTGAACAAAATTAGATGTCTAATGAGAGGGCCCTGCGCCTCCTACTAAATCCGCCATTGTAATACTCTCAAAAAAGCACTTATAGGATTACGTTAATTAACGGAAGAACTCATTAGTACAGTAGGCTTTTATTTTTCGCTTAAAAAGTTAGCAGTATCGCCTATTTTAGGTCGGTGGCAAAAAGTTAAAAAAGCGTAAATCAATATTAATGACTAGAAGTAGATATATTAAGGAAAGGCCATTAAAATAACAATCAAGATGATATGACTAGATTGTCTCCACAGTATTGTATCTCTGTAATACAGTGTAAAAGCTACTACACACAAGCCGGCGGCAATGCCGCCGGGTTTATGCCAAGCGGCTATGCCGTCGACAATACAAGCCGCCGGCACAAGCCGCGCAAAACCGCCAAGCATCATTCCGGTTGTGACAGTCACATAAAACGCTAGTGAAGTGCATATTTTATGGTTGGTTGGTTAAAATGAATAAGGAAATCATCAGCACAGCCGCCGCAGTTGTAATTTTTATTTTAATAAGAAAAAAATACAAAAGGACGAGAAGATTTGGGTTGCACCCAAGTTTACAAAATAGAAAATGGCGAAACGGTACTGTAATGATAGAAGAGTATAAAAAAGATGATGTGGGGTGTCATCGTTTGCGCAATAGCATGCTTTTTGGGTTTCTGTACATCGTCTATGCCTGCACCAGATTTGTGCAACTGTTCGAACTTCTTTTTTTCCCGAAAATAATGAGAGGTTACATTTTTTAACTTTCTCTCTACTTCGCCTTTATCAATGTCAAATACACTTGCAATTATGTTCAGTGCTTCGATTGCTCCTATTCTTATAGTCTGCATTTCTGGGATTCCATAATATATCATTTTCATGAAATTTTTCAATTAAGAGCAGCACAGCTTCGTCGTCCCAATTAAACGACATTTTAATTTGTTTAAACACACAAACCGCACAACACTACCGCTCGAATGCCAGGAACGAAGTGACGCCGGCAAGCCGCGTAACCCGCCGGCCTCCCCGGCGGCAATGCCGGCGGCTCCTTTGCGCGGCAAGGCCGGCGGCTTTGTATGCCGCCGTGTGTACGGAGGCTTAGCCGGCGGCTTGCCCGGCGGAACTTTGGGTAGCAGCCTTAAGGCTGAGTGTAAGAGCACGTAATGTGAACTCCGTCTTTTCGTTAATCATATATATAATTATCATTATTATTTTGATTTTGCTATACAAATTCCAATAAAATCATGAGATTCCATGAAACTTCCAGAACTCTCGTAATCTGAAATCAGGAAGTTTTCTGAATTACATATATTTCCGTCACGTATATGTACAGGAAGTATACCGAGAAAAATTACCAGTCGAACTTAATCTCGTTTGATCAACCTGTGCAATTGAGCTTGGCCGAGCGAAGTATCTGGCGTCATCTAGTGACGTTTTCCAGAATTATTCGAGAATAATATGGAAGGCCCTGGAATTTCTCTAGAAATTTTGACGTGTGCTATAAAAGCGTTGTCACTGCGCTCCATCTTCAGTGAATTGTGAGACACGGTAGTGTAAACAACTCGAGCAAAAAAAACAACGACTGAATTCAAAGTATAAACAGTTTAAGCAGTGAATTACGAGTGTTGTCAACAAAGTTTAAAACAAGAAACAGTGAAAATGGCAAAAGCTCCAGCAGTTGGTATTGATTTGGGTACCACGTACTCCTGCGTTGGTGTCTGGCAGCACGGCAAAGTTGAGATCATCGCCAATGATCAAGGTAACAGAACAACACCAAGTTATGTTGCCTTCACCGATACAGAACGTCTCATTGGCGATGCCGCCAAGAACCAGGTAGCTATGAACCCCAGCAACACAGTCTTCGACGCGAAACGACTTATTGGCCGCAAATTTGACGATCCCAAGATTCAGCAAGACATAAAACACTGGCCATTCAAAGTTGTCAACGATGGCGGCAAACCCAAGATCCAAGTTGAGTTCAAAGGAGAAACCAAGACCTTCGCTCCAGAAGAAGTCAGTTCAATGGTGCTAACAAAAATGAAAGAAATTGCAGAAGCCTATCTGGGCGGCACAGTGAAGGATGCGGTTATCACAGTCCCAGCATACTTCAACGATTCACAAAGACAAGCAACCAAAGATGCCGGTGCCATTGCAGGATTGAATGTGCTCAGGATCATCAATGAACCCACAGCAGCTGCGCTTGCTTATGGTCTCGACAAGAACCTGAAAGGTGAGAAGAATGTGCTCATCTTCGACTTGGGTGGCGGTACCTTTGACGTATCCATCCTGACCATCGATGAAGGCTCCTTATTTGAAGTAAAGTCCACTGCAGGTGACACTCATCTGGGTGGTGAAGACTTTGACAACAGGCTAGTCAACCACTTTGCAGACGAATTCAAGAGGAAATTCAAGAAAGATCTCAGATCAAACCCAAGGGCAATCCGAAGATTGAGGACGGCAGCTGAAAGAGCCAAACGCACATTGTCGTCTAGCACAGAAGCTACATTAGAAATCGATGCCCTCTTCGATGGCATTGATTTCTACACAAAAATCAGCAGGGCTCGATTTGAAGAAATGTGCTCAGATTTGTTCCGTTCGACACTGCAACCTGTTGAGAAAGCCTTAAACGATGCCAAACTGGATAAGGGACAGATCCATGACGTCGTGCTGGTAGGAGGCTCTACTCGTATCCCGAAGATCCAGCAACTTCTCCAGAACTTCTTCAACGGCAAACAGCTCAATCTGTCCATCAACCCAGATGAAGCCGTTGCCTATGGTGCTGCTGTACAAGCAGCTGTCCTCACTGGCTCTACAGACTCCAAGATTCAAGATGTTCTACTGGTGGACGTCGCTCCTCTATCCTTGGGTATCGAAACCGCTGGTGGTGTCATGACCAAGATCATCGAACGCAACTCGAGGATTCCTTGCAAGCAGACGCAAACCTTTACCACCTATTCCGACAACCAGCCTGCCGTTACCATCCAAGTCTACGAAGGTGAAAGAGCCATGACCAAAGACAACAACCTTCTGGGCACTTTTGATCTCACGGGTATACCTCCAGCACCTCGTGGAGTACCAAAGATTGAAGTTACCTTCGACATGGACGCTAATGGTATTCTGAACGTCTCGGCCAAAGACAACAGCTCAGGAAATGTCCGCAACATCACTATCAAGAACGACAAAGGAAGGTTGTCCCAGAAAGACATCGACAGAATGTTGGCCGAAGCTGAAAGATATAAAGAAGATGATGAAAAACAGCGACAGAGGGTTGCCGCCAAGAACAAACTCGAAGCGTACATCTTCCAACTCAAACAAGCAGTACAGGACTGTGGAGACAAACTGCCTTCAGAGGATAAAGAAACAGTTGAGAGAGAGTGTGAATCTAGTCTGAAATGGTTGGACAGCAACAGCTTAGCAGAAAAGGAAGAGTTCGAAGACAAAGAGAAAGAACTGACCAGGATATGCAGTCCGATCATGTCCAAACTATACGGCGGAGGAGCAGCTGGTGGCATGCCGGGTGGCTGCGGACAACAAGCAGGAGGATTTCCAGGACAACAGAGCCAAGGACCAACAGTTGATGAAGTTGATTAAATTGTTTACATTTTGTAATGAATCCAAATACAACTGGCAGAGGTATGATTCATAAGCGAGATTCCACTTGCCGTATGAAATTTACCTGTGTCGTTGTATTCACGCTGGTGGATCAAATCGACATTTTCAAAGTATTTTGAAAAATTCTATTTTTGTGAATGCTTCGAATGTGTAAGTTTGACTCAAAATCTGCTGTTGCCATTTCACTCGAGTAAAAAATATCTCTTGAGAGGTTCTAATATATATGTGCTCAATTTTGAATTGATTGCAAACATATTTGACCTTTTAATGCGGTATTTTTTATTCCAGCCATTTTACTTTTGTAAATATCGCAAGATGAATAAGTTGTGCACGATAACATCAAGCTTTTAAAGTGAAAGTGAAATGCATAATTTTTTCATTTTGTGATATATATTAAAGACTGCTATATTATTTTGTAGAATGTAGACTGTGATTGTTTTACTGTGATTATTGTTGAAATTCTCAGCATTGAACCAATAAAATAATTCTTTCTGCAAACCTGTTTTCTTTTTTCTGTGATGGACCCATTACAAATCTGTAATCTTTTTTACTACGTTTAAAATGATCTCAGAAAATCGAGAAATGTATAAAAATTTTAAGCCCTTGAGAAAATGTAGGTCTCTCAGAAAATGTTTATTGGTCACGCCATAGAATAATCAGGACGTTGATAAATATGTCGATCTCCCAATTTTTTTCGGACTACGCTCAAAAGATCAAGTAGTAGAAAAATGAGGTTTGGGATAATTTGGTGTTTTTGTTTTTTATTCAGCTCTGCCGACACCGTACCAGTTTCCAAAAATTTAACAGCCTATGTAGATGAGCATTGTCCCGTGAACCGTGGCCGTTTACATCAGATCCTCAAAGCGGCTGTACCTCGAATATTGAAATCCAGCTATTTCTTAAAGCATACGACACTATAGATCACAGATGAGACAAATAAAATCGTTAATTTTTGTCACGGTGGTACAAAGTTCTATTTAATAGCGTAACGGTAACGACTCTCGAGACAAATGCCTTATAACCACCTACTAGATATAGGGTGTTTCAGAAAAACGTGCCAGTATTTCAGTACATCCAAAAATAATAATAATAATAATAAATGTCTTTATTAATCAGCATACATCAGTGAGGCGAAGTTTAGCCAAATGGCTACTCTTACACTTAACCTCACTGTGTACGAAAGAGTAACACAGTTAAACTCGATACACAAACAAACAATAGTAATAATAAGAAAAAGAAACAAATGCACACTTGAACTATTAATATCCCATCAGCTGTTTCTTAACGAGTCTCCTGAAAGGCACTATTGTTTTACTGCGACATATTTTATCTGTAGAGTTGTATAACTTGACAGCATGGAATGTGAAGCTTTTCTGGAAAAGGGCTGTATAAATAGTGGACTGGCATCGCAAAATTTAGGTTGTGTCTGAGATTTCTCTGATTAATGTTACCTCTTGGTACTAGCTTTTCTAAAATGTACGGTGGTTTTTTTGTGCGAACTACTTTATGGACAAACACCTTCATAGCATAAACAAACTGTGATTCCATCTTTAACCAATTTAAATCTTTAATCTTCGAAGAGACATGACTATATTTACGAAGTCCAAACACAAACCTGCAGCAGCCGTTTTGAATTTTTTGTAACCTATACCGATCCGACGAATCCAAATAAGAATAGAATAAAATCAGAGAATGTTGCAAAGATGACAGGATCAAGCTTTCAACTAATTTTTTCCTAGTCTTAAAGTTTAAAATGAAACGGTTGGAATATAAAAGTTTTAATTTGGCATATGTTTTTTGAGACAGGTAACCGATGTGTCTATCAAACTTCAAGTTAGAGTCCAAGATAACACCCAGGTTCTTAGAATGTTCTACCATGGGGATGCGCTCGTTATTTATAATGAGTACAATTGCGTCCTTTATGTTATTATACATGTGTTTCGGAGAAAAAAGCATACTTGAACTCTTTTCAGGATTGATCCTGAGACAGTGCTTTTTACAAAAATCCGTAATATTGATTAGGTCAGTATTAATTTTAAACGACACTTCATTTAACTGAGCATATGTGAAGTGAAATGATAATTGTGTGTCATCAGCATACGTTTGTATAGAACAAAATTCCACACATGAATCTAAGTCTATAGTGTAAATTAAATATAGCAGGGGTCCCAGAACTGACCCCTGCGGAACGCCAGACGAAACCACAGTACTAGAAGAGACGCCCCTAACCGTCTTAACTAACTGTTTTCTTTCTGCCAAGTAGCTTTGGAAAAATCTTAGCGGTATATCAGATAATCCAATGTACTTCAGCTTGCTCAACATGATTTTGTGATTAACTGTATCAAAGGCTTTTGAGAAATCAATCATCACTAATATGGTATTAATATGTCTGTCTAAGTTACCTACGATGTTGTCAGTTAGATGCAGCAAAGCTGAAGTAGTGCTATGTCCCGCACGAAATCTTGATTGATGAGGAGAAAACAAGTTATTTTGCTCTAAATATTCCACTAGTTGAATGTACACTGCTTTCTCTAATACCTTCGAACAAAAGCACAGCAAACTAACAGGCCGCAAATGATTATGATATATAAAATTTCTGGCAAGCAGTATCCTAGCATGTTCAAATTAATTTCATCACTCCCTGTAGCAGGTGACTTGATAGAGGTAGCTATGTCCAAAATTTCTTCAGCGGTCATCATTTTAAATGTAAATGGAGTTACATCTTGGCTGTTAAAGCTGTTCTCATAAAACTCTACTGTACTGTCAATCAAACGGGAATTGATATTAAGATTTTGGTAATTTAACATGAAGTGGTTATTGACTTCATTAGGGTCTAACAGGTCATAGGGTATTTCAATGTGTTTCTGCTCTCAGCTGATCCCAAGCTTTTCTAGAATTGAGATTATCAAAGCGAGATAAATATGCCTTTTTCTCACGCCGGATTGAAGCAAGTGAATAATTTCTTAACTGTTTATACGCTGTCCAATTTTCATCTGATGGATTGTGACGAAATTTAATTAAAGCCTCATCTCTCACCTTAAGAATGACCTTAAGTGCGAAAGTTAACCATGGAGCAGCTTTTTTGGTGACACGAGCCGTCTGAATAGGAGCATGAAAGTTAAAAAGCTCAATAAGCACCCCATAAAGGATTAGAATTTTGGAGTTAATATCGGTAATATACAGCATTTCTTCTAAGCCAGCTGCAGCCAAATCCTGCTTGAATTTGATTACATCAATGTTCTTAAAATCCCTATAGGTTATGAATTTTTCCTCCGATGAAACGGTTTTAATATTTAATTCACAGAATACTAGTTTGTGGTCAGATATCAGATCTGCATTTAAGGTACGAGAGTTGAGAACACTTTCAATATTATTTAAAAATATGACATCAATTAAAGTAGAACTAAAAAAAGAAATACGAGTAGGCTCATCGATGACCTGCCTGAAACCATAAAAATCAAGACAACTGCTGAGTACATTAGTGGTATCGAACATATCAATATTCATGTCTCCAAGAAGAATAATGTCATCATATTGAGGCATAAAGAAAGAAACAAGATTGTCTATGTGGTTTATACAATCATTGATAGAACAGTGAGGAGGTCTATAAAGTACCGCAACAAGCAGGCTTACGGAATTGATTCTAGATTTACAACACAATAATTCCAGCGTACTGTTACCCAAAAAATCGATATTAACAGTACTGAATCTCAGATTAGCCTTTGCGTATACGCCAACCCCACCACCTCTGCCAATTCTATCTTTGCGAAAGAAATTATAATCGTGCATACTAATAAGATTATCTGGTATATTTCCTGAAAGCCAAGTTTCAGACACAGCTATAATATCAAATTGATCTTTTACCAGCAAAGAAAACTCATTAAAAGAAGCTGTAAGTGATCGAACATTTATATGGCAAATTTTTAAAACATCATTTTTATTACTTCCCATAATCCACGCGCTGCTTCAAATTGTCAACATAACCTTGGTACACAGGACATCCAGGAAAGTTAGCAGAATGATCTGTGGGCAAGCTCTTTTTATTGACTTGTTATGATTAACACAGTTAATGCATTGTAGCGCCTCCGACTTGCACTCTTTCAGTTTGTGTTTTCTGCAGCATCTAGGACATGCAAGCTCTGATTTGCAAGTAGCTTCAGTATGGCCGAATGAACAACATTTGTAACATTTCATCAAGCGCAAATGGTCAGAAATGAAACACTTTTTCCAACCAATGAACAACGAACCTATTTGTAACAGGGATTTTCTTAAATCAGGTGTCACTTCAATGACAACACTAGTTCCGCTCTTAAGTCTAAGTTTAGTGACAAATTCAATCTGAGATTTTTGCGTAACAGTTAAATTATTCGGGGTAGCTATATTCGTTATAATATCATCTGGCGAATCAATACCATCCAGATTAACATTTTTTATTATTAGCCTTGGATTTAATTTCTTGGCCTCAGATATTGTATATTTAGATGCCAACTTTGCATCAAGACTAGTTTTCAATGAGGTCAAAGATGCATCGTCTTTACAATGAACCGCCACACCGTTACGGATTTTACGTGTATTATTTACACATATATTCATGCTGGCCAAATTGACAGATGATTTTATGTCATCTAACACTTTACTTGTGTCCGAGGTGTTGCTACCAACAGATTGAACCAAAAGAACAGATGAGTTGTCCATATTCTTCTGTTTTACTATATCACTAAAAAGAAGACCAGGTTGATGTACATTGACCTGGCTACTACCACATGCTTGAGATTTTGCAGGTTCACGTTCTTCGTACGACTTCAGCAGGGATTTTTGCAACTGTACAGTGTATTCGAGATTAGTTAAAAGTTTTTTAGTTGAATCTAATTCTCGATTGACGCTTTCCAACTCTTTTCTCAATAATGTTATGTCAGTTTTTGTCTCATTACTGACTGACTGCAAGGAGCATTTACAATCGTCGCAAAGCCAAAATATAT